AGCCAAAACCAGTTGGACCGCGTCGAAGTAATACTCGACGTTCACTAAATAAGTATAATACAATTAAATTATATGAAGTCTTGTTCCATAGAAATTGCATAAAAGTTATTAACAACATATTCGCACACTTTCTCAATTCATTATACTGAATCTAGATATTTATTAGGATTAGTATCTTCAAAATCTAATATCACTGATAGAGTGACAAGTATCTTACATTAAATTAATATAAAATTTTTCTTCCGAAAAAAAAGATAATTTTATACAAAAATGAATCCATACTGGCATAGTAATAATCAAATAAAATCCTTCTAGCGGAATAATAAGAAAGACCAAACAATTATTGACTCATTTTTTTCCTTTGCATAAACAAAACAAAATAAATTTTAATTTCAATATATTATGAAAAATGATTAACGTATTCTTAACTTACAGAGGAAGGTCTTCATGTTCATCATTACTCGTTAATCGATGTCCATTAGTTTCATTTTTTGATTTTAATTGATTTTGAATAGAAGTATTAGTTGATTGAAGTTGTGTATTTAATGCATAAACAGTTGGATGACCAACAATTAAAGTTATGTTTTGACTTTCATCACATGCACGTCGAATAGATTCAACAGCATGTTTATGCTCAACAAATTCAAGATCATAAGTATTTTTCTATATAGAAAAGAATTTCATTCAAGACCAAAAAACAACAAGAAAAAAATAAAATTATTTTATACCATTGATTGTACACTCATTAAACGATCACCAACTTTTAATTTTCCATTTTTATCAGCAATACCACCTGGAATTATATTTGTTATAAATATACCATAATCACTAAAATATTTCCAATAAAAAATTAGTTTTTTTTTTCTTTTATTATTTTAAATAAAACATACCCTTTAACATGTTCGTGACTAATTCCACCAGCAATTGAAAAACCTAAATGAACATTTGATGGTTTTTCTAATACGATTTCTTCCATAATTGGTGGAGCTAAACGACGAACTATCTAAACAAATAGATATAAATTCATTTGGAAATAGTGTTTCTTTTGTATAGAAAAACCTACTAAAATAACTGGACTTTCAGCAGATTTAAGTGTATCAACTGCTGCTTGATGTTGAATATTAGTAAAATCGATATTATTAACACGTAAAATTATATCATGAAGTCTAATAATAAAATCAAGAATAAAAATATGCAGAAAAAAATCGTCTAATCTTACTTCAATCGATGATCAATATCAGCAAGACCACTTTCAGTTATACGTGTAATAACAACAGCTGAGGAATCAGTAATACATGGGGTATCTGTACCGCCAGCAATTGAAAACCCTAGACCTTTGCCAGGTACCTAATGTAAATAAAAATTTTAGTATATAGAAGAAAAATTTTCTTTTTCTTAATATTTACTCGTTCAAGATCAATTTTAAGTTCTGTCCAATGATCATTATAATTAAGTTCTGGTATATTAGTAGGTAAATTTAAATCTGTTGTATTTTGACGATTAGTTGAATCTGTTATATTAGTTATTTGAGAAAATGGTGTTGGTGTTGGTTGTCTTTTAATATCTTCTTTAATATTCGATGGACGTATTAATGGATTATCAGTTACAATTGTTGATACTATCGGTGATGGTTCCTTTATTGTTGTTGTTGCTGGACCATTCTATAAAAAATTATATTAATAAATTAAATATAAAGGCAAGAAAAAAAAAAAGAATAAAGTCTTTACACGTATATCTTGTCTAAGCATCGGTTGTTTTTCCAATTCATCAACTAATTGAAGTGTTGCTCTCATTTTAGCTGTACGATCACTTTGTTCATCAAGTAAAATAGTTTCATAAAATTCTTGAATATCTAATTTAATCAAAAGAAAACAAAAAAAAAACACAAATATTAATGTTCTTAACATAATAAATAGACATATAAATATATCTACCCATAAGTGCTTGGAAAAGACGACTTTTAAAAACTTTGATAACTCTAAAGAAATACAAAGAACAAATAAAAAATTCGTGTTAATTTCTTTCTTTCCTTTTTTATTTGCAATTCATTAGTAAAGAAAACAAATTTTATTCTTTATTAAAAATTAAAGATTTATTCAGAATGACCCGGAAGCAAATTATTTACCTGTCAATGGCATTTTTTAATGGTTTATCTTCAGGTGAATCCAGACGATTATAATACTCTTCAAGCAAATCTAATGCTCGATAAGCATCTAGTAATAAATAAATGATTCTTTTTTGCAGATTTTTCTTTATTGATAATTTACCTTGTTTTCGAACAGGCATCTTGTCGAGCTAAAAAATGGTGAATTTACATCTAGCAGAGAAAAAAGCTTCTCGTATGACAAGAACGAAAAAAAATTAATCCTTCGTGCAATATTATAATGGTTAGAGAATGAAAAGAAAAAAAGAAATTGTTCTGTTTTATTTTCTTTTTAACCTTGAGGCAATCGTCAAATATCACAAAAAAAAAAAAAAGAAAAAAGTGATGCATACATTAGATCTTTAGGGAAATGTCTAAATGGATGCTAACAAAGTCAATATATATTAGATAAAAAATATTCTTCAACAAAACTTTTCTATTAACAGAAAGAAATAAAAAATAGACAAAAAAAAATAAGTGTTAGTTATAGTTATTCTATCCTTTATCGACTTCGTACTTGATCACTTTAGACACATAGCTTTTACATAGTTCTATATGGGATGTTAATCGCATTAATTAGTATGTAAACTATGTGTAAAGTGAACAAATACTTGTCTAGCTTTCTTTACTTAAGATCTTTTACTATTGTCACTAATCACTGTAGTAACGAGATCATATCGAAGACAAGCGATCAATCGATAGAAAAAAAAGAGTAAAAGAAGACGATTTTTAACTGCGACAGAAAAAATAAATACATAACTCATAGAAAGAAAAAAAATGGTGAAAAAACTGAATGAAAGAAGTTTAAAAAAAAGAAAAAGAAAAAGAACAGAACAAAATTGGACATTTTACATAAATATACATAACCTCTTTATTTTCATTCAATTTATCAGTTTTCCATCTTCTTAATTGATTACTTTTCAAGGATATTTATTTTGAATAATATGAATGAGTAATAGTTTTAATAAAGAATAGATGTCACTTGAAGTCGATTTAAATATAATGTTAAATAGGTTTCTTGTCGATTGACGTGTCAAGAGAATACGCGTTGATATATATATTTATCATTTGACATTGTATAAAAAGCAGTATAACGATCATAAACTGTAATAACAACATTCAAAGAAGAATAAGAATAGAAAAAATTCTGTTCTTAAATATGTATATATATCATTAATAAGCACTAGTATAGTTGTTATATTTGTAGATGTAAATCGTTATCTATAACCTTGTAAATGATTGGAGTATAAAATACTATTTTTTCATTTTCTCAGATAACATTTAAATAATATGCATTTTATTTATACATATATATTTAATGAAATTTTATGCTCATAACCTAGTGTAAAATAAACACCATTTCTTTTAGAAATTCATGATTTTCTTCGCATGCAAACATTCACATTAATAACATTGAAAAGAATACTTCAAAATATATTCGGGTATATTTCAAAGTTCCTAGCATTGATTAGGTTTTTTATTTCGTTTGAAGAAAAACGAAAATTTTTCTCTGTACTTTTTATTTTCAATGTTTCTTTTCCGACAGCAGTTAATCTATCCATTAAGCTTTGTTGAAAAGACAGAACGAGATCATATTAAGGAACTTATAACATTTCGCTCTCTCCTTAATTTGTCACTTCTTATCAGACATCATGATACAAAATAATTTAGAAGTTCTTCTTACTATCAGCATATATTTTGAGAATGTAATAAGTAGTAATGATACTAATGGTGAGCTTAACTAAATTCAATTCACTATGAAATTTTTTAAAATACTAACAAATTTTAAAAGTTCTTTTCATCGTTTATGTTGATTTGAATACAAGACAAAGCAAGATTTCTTATGACTAAAGCATTAACTTAATATAATACTGCTCTAATTGTATTTGGCTTTTTAAATGAATGTTGATTAATGATAAGGTCATCTCTCAACACTAGGTATAATGAAAGCTACCATTGATTATAGAATTAATATTGTCATGCTATCATCGTTTTGTATTATCTGATGATTTTTATGAACTGCTGACTACATTGTTTATATAAAAGTCTTTTTGTTATACATGAGTAAAACTTTTCATTTACATTAAGTATTCTAAATTTGTCAATTATCGTTTCGTTCGTTGCCAAGAAGCTATCATGCAAGTTCAATGTTTAGAACATGACACAAGGATGTGAATAAAAAAGGTATTAAGCCTCAGGGAACAAATGTGACAAGCTCAAATTAAGAGAAATCGCATAATACATTAAATGAAGTAAAACATTCAAATATAATAAATATTATAGAACTTCTCTCAACTCAAGCAAAATGTTGTGATAATCTGTTCATTATTTAATTTAAGCAAAAACTTGTACAAACACATTTAATTAAACTATAAATTCATTTATAACCGTATTACACGATTCTTCAATTTGGGAACAATGCTATAACATAATTCTTACATGAAAATTGTAAACCATCCAAAACAGCCAGTAAACTAACGAATGATCCAAAATCAATGGCCAGTTTTTCTATTTCTTTTCTTTTATCACGTAGTACGTTTATTTTAACAACAAAATATACCATAAAATGCAGCGTGAACAGCTCTAGAATTAAAAAAAAAGAATAGTTTATTGAATATATGTACGCTTTATTTTCAAAATGAACAAAATTCTGTGTGACCAATCGTCGACACTACAAACATAATCATTTTTTTTTAGTAAACGATCAATCTGCACTTTTTTTTTATCTCATCAATGAAAGACAATTCTATTCACTGACGAGAAATGCTTTTCATTAGAACATGTTTACACTTTAAGTCGACAAGAGGCAGACGAACAAACAGACATAAACCAAAAGGCTAAGTATCCAAAAAGAATCATGGTATGGTTCGAAGTGTCTAAAAATGGCCTTATATCTCCAATGATATTTCAACCTGGTAAAATATTATTACATAAGAATTATTTTGGTGTTGTTCTTCCACATGCACAAGCTGAAGGACAACGTCTACTTGATGGTGATTCCATCTACCTATGGGATGAAAAAAGAACAGGAATTTGTTGTGTACCAATCGATAATCTTATTCGAAGCGTCGAAAATTGGTCACACAGAATAATGCCCATGTTGAAAATAAAGCATGCATATAAAGAATAAGTTTTTTAATGTACTTCGTATTCACACTGAATCTTATAATATATTTTGTTTTTAAAAATAAACGTACTAGATGATAAAAAGAAATACAAATCAATTGTTCTGAGTTTTTTTAGGAATGTTGATTCAAAAAAGTAATTAGAAAAAACTTAATGAAAGAACTATGAACATCAGTACATATTACTTTAACAACAAAATTATTTGTGCTTAAAAAAATATATTATACAATATTATTAGATTCAAAAGGTAGGCTAGAAATCAGCTATAGTAAGAGTATCATTAATCTATTATCTTTTTCAATTTTATTAAGGCTCATTTAGCTCAGTATGACATAATGGGTTTATGTGTAAAACCAGACATCTTATTTCTTTCGAATTACTTAACTTGATAAATCATATAATTTGTTGATAATAGATCTACCATAACCAAAATTGAAAATGACGCTTCTCGTTCTTTAACCGTATGATGGTAAAAGCCCTGAAGGCTTTTCTATATCGTTATTTCTATACACTAGTGATTTCATAATCAGAATTTGCAGTTAGATGGAACATAAACTTGCACTAGTAGATACCGCCCGGAGGTTTAACACTAAAAAAAAACAAACTTCCAAGACTTCTATAACTGTCAAATACAAAAAAAAAGAAACGGACACAAAAAATCGATGTCTTTAATTTTCATTGATACAAAGAACATTACAATTACGTGAATACAATGAACTAGATTTTTAATCAAAAGTCATGAAATAATCATGATGATGAACATGTATGCTGCATTATTTGAAATTGAGTTGTGTTTTTGTAATGTCTCATGCAAAAATCTAATTTTAGCTTAACGTTTATTTTGCTTTTTATATCTCTGCAAGATCTCTTGAGAGCATCAAAAATAACTTTGAATATTATATATAGACGTCAATCTACAGTTTGATTACACCAATAGTGCACAGCGTAGAAATTAAAGACATAAATAATAGAAAAGTTTTCCAAATCGATCGAATTTTTTTCCTAAAAACAAATAACTACAAAGAACAGTTCATCGTCTAATTATTACTAAACATTATAATAAAAAAGTGATGCCTTACATAGGAAACAATCTCTATTGAAAAATCATTCATAAATGAAAAGATATTCATTTGCTCCATCCCTTATACTGAAAATTTTCGCTTTTCTTGTGATATTGCATGCCTTAATTCAATAGAATTAATGAGAATGGGTCATGTTATTTTTTTTGTTTGAGATATATTTATTATTCATTCATCTATATCTATAATATAAACGATACAAACCGTGCTTAGTTTTATATTTCTTTGATAAGAAAAAGAAATATGAAGCTTGTACAAATTTAGAAAAAAAAATTATTATATTCTATTGGATAATCGCAATGAATAGAAAGAAGTTTATTCAACTAAAATCATTATTGAGTCTTAAAAATAGTAATTTTATTTAGCTTCCAAAATTTATTTTTAATCCAAATATTATATTGTAATTGACTAAATCAATTTGAAATAAATTTTAAAACTAAATTATCATGAATATTGAAGCTAAAAATAAGTCTACAATACTACTTACCTTTCTATTAAAATATAGAATAATTCGATAAATATGCCTGTCTATTTATACGAAACATAATTGAAAAATTATTTGGTCGCCTGTTCTCGTAACATTCGTGAATAAAATGTTTTTCGAAATATTTGTTGTCGTTGTGAATATTTATATAAAATTTTCAGGAAAGCATTAATTGTGATGTTTCTTAATACAAACAAATGTTTTACTTGAAGGATAAAACGATTTCACGTTAAATAAGTAAAATAATCAATTGTCTATTGTTCAATATATTTCTTATTACATTAAGTAACTATAAATTACATATAAGAAATAATTCATGATAAAGTATTTTTAAAAAATTATCACAAACATTTGTGTAGAAATTATTTGAATAAATTGATTTTGAGTACGATCAATATTTATATTTTTGGTATTTCTCTCAAGAATATTCAACAGAAATGTTTCGTGTGTGATGCGACAGTTCAAGGATTTTCTAAGCGTTAACGATTTATTCTGACATTTTGATAAGTGAGCGCGAGGTTAGTCTACTCAGAAGCGTTTATCATATTAATTGATTAGTAGGAAAAGAAGGGTGTCGATGTCACTACTTCCCTCTTTCCCTTCTCTCTGATTATCGGAGCAAATCGTTACATATATATAAATTAGGCAGGGAAGCATCCATGAAAAAGTACTAGGAAAAAAATATATGATATCAGACCGAGAACATCTATCAAGAAATTAGTAGGACAGAAAAAATACCTATTGGAGAGACGAATAGCGCGAGAAAAAATATATCATATAAGAGCAGAGGAGAATTCATATGATGGAAGAATATAAAGGAACGGATATTTGACAGACAGGAAATTAACAATCATACGAATAGAAGGAATCAAATGATAGATGATAACAACTGATAGGAGCCTTTGGTTCCATACTTTCTAACACGAGTAACATAAACAACAGCAACACAAATACTGTCATCATATCGTGAATGAATGGATTTCATAAAGAATATGAACATACAGAGAAAATGAGACCATTAATAATGCGTACTATGGCAATGAAATATGGTACCAATTCTAGTTTGTTTTATACATCGCATGACAGCAGTCAAACAGCATGTACAACTCTATTGACTAATACTAAATAACATCAAACAGCTCAGGGAGAATCGAGACAAGAAGACCAGATCAATGAGTTTCAATTTACATAAATGACTGATAGTTACGAATGAAAGTATAATGGCTATTTGTGAGTTTACGTAGTTAGGCATGACATGGATAACATTAATTAATAATGTATAAATTAGAAGAAAGATACAGGAAGTATGAAATCGAAGACTTGGTTGAAGAATAGTGGAAGTATTTTCAATACAATCAATGACTATGAAATTGGTAAATATAAGTGGAAGGCAGATAATAGAATATTTATTTCACAAGTTCACGAGCATAGATGATTAACTTTGAATTTTGTGTTGAATTAGTGATGAATGTATTGATTATTTGAAGATAGTTTTTTAATAGGTTTCAAAATCGACAAGGATTTTAGATAATTAAGATTTCGTCCTAGTGGTATTCTTTTATTTGATAATTCATGTAATTGAGACGGAATCAAGTTTTTTCCATTTTTTCGTTTCAATATCTCAACGAAATAAAACTGGATAAAATTAGAGATTTTCGAATATATCTAGCGAGAGAAGTCCCCGAACTGATAAATCACTTTTGATTCGAGACTATATGCATGATGAAAAACCTAATGAGTTATGGATACCTTGAAATGAGCTCGTGCCCTTAACTTATTGATGCAGCGATATTCATAGATTTGCAACTAATCTTGATCGAACCTGCCTTTATGCAAGGCTTCAAGTCTACAATCGAAAATCATTTCTTCTGTAGTCCTTGAGAAGGACCGAAGAATTCATTTAAAAACTACGGTAAAAATATAGTATCGCCACAATAATAAGCTTAGGACATGAACTCACTTTAAAATATTCATAGCTTGTATTGGGGCTACATAATGCATGTAGTCTCGAATCAAAAACGATCTATCAGTTGGAGGATTTTCCTCATCATTCGTATAACTCCGTACATCTTGAAAGTTTCATTAGACTCGCAGTTTTTTTTACCATTTTATAACTGAAATATGGACAGCCAACGGATCATCAAAGATGGTCTTCAAATTTTATATCTGTGTAAAGAACTGAAAAAGTTAGTGTAACTACAAATGCAAAAGGAAAAGTGTCTGCGAGGAATTTGTGGCTTCGATGACGAATTATATATAGGAAAAAAGAAAATTTCATCAATATAAAACAATGACTTTTGAGGAAAGAAAAAACTGCGTTACTGAATCATCCATTTCGTGATGGAACAAAGTTTTAAGAAACGATAAGGTTTCCTCAACATGTATTTCTTCAGACATTTAATCTTAGTTTCTCAAAACAAGTAAACTGATGCTATTTGTAAAAAAAACCCATCATGGAAAAACAATCTTTTATTATTATTCTAGTAACGAAAAAATTCTTTCATAGATAGCATAAGTTGCATATCATATTTTACTACTGAAACGTCTTCTTCAAACACAGTAATGTAAACAGCTCGGAACCATCATAAACCAAATTCAGCATTTGGGTAGTGAGGTTTTAAAATCTCGTTATCTATCTAAGTATATGACTAGAATAACAATATAAGAGAAAAATGAGATTTCTATTTTCTTTTTGCAAAAAATAACTTCGTCCTTTGCTAGCAATTTGGTTACAATCTTCCTAATGAAACAGACATTTTCATGAAAAGAATGTCAATTAGTTCTTTAGATAGAGCATCAAAAATTAACATTATAGCATTCATTTATAAAATCAGAAATATTAGTTTTTTTTTAACTAAAAATGAATTACACGGCACTTTTTGTTACAGATTATACTTACAAATATGGATTACTCTTTCGATGTACAAAACTTAGATCTATTACCATGGCTAAAAAGTCTACTCCAAACAGTTCTAGAACATGCGATTGACTTTGATAAAAATCGTATTCGTTTATATGTAAAACCAAAAAGTATAAGGGTATGGAAAGTATTGATTTTGACTAATTCCGAGTAATATTTTTTACTAGCAGTTTTTTCTCTACGATATATTGAAGTGATATAGATAAAGACTCCTTTTTTATATCCTAGGGATTGCTGTACAAAATAGTCATATTCGTTTTGCTTAATTTAAAGATTAATTTTACTTAGATAAGTGGACAGTTCGTTGACGGAAAATGGAGAACGGACTACATTGACATAATATGATGAAAGCATAGAATTTTCTTTTCTTTTTACAACAAATCAGATTCCCTGTCGAGTCTTTTCACGGATAATATAACAAATAAAGGAGCTATAATTGCAGCAAAAAGATTATTCCTTTTTAATGAAAGATTGAAACCAAAGAAGGAGGTGAAATAATAATGATTCTTGTAAAACATACT